GTCCTACGGTTCTGTGGGCGGCTCAGCGGCAGGCCAGGCCAGCTAGCACTGACAGTCAGGTGTTACCTGCCCCCATCAGGAAACACGATGTCTTGAAAATCCCCAAGACCCAAGAAGTCCAAGTAAGACCTCAAACTAGACAGGAAAAGGGCAAGAACAGAGCCACGGGTGCCAACAAATTCAGTCCTGCGTTTATTCCTCCTTTTAAACGCCATAGTTTTTCTTCTCTTCCTGTTCTCCGTGAGGTGGAAAGGCCTGGTGAGGGGCGGCCCACTAGAGCAGGAATATTTACTGAAGATTTCTCAAGTCGCAGAGCAAGAGAAAAAGGCAGGTAAAAGAGGTTCTGGGTCTGCACTATGCAAAGAAAATGCATGGACAGCATGGGGGGTGGAGTGTGGGAGAGAAGTGAACAGACTTAAGAATGAATCTGTTCCTTACACCATACACAAAAATTAGTTCAAAATGGATTACACACCTAATTGTAAGCACTAAAACTGTGAGTTTGGGACGCCTGGGTGGCTCAATTGATTAAATGTCTGCCTTTGGCTCAGGTCATGATTTCAGGGTCCTGGGACAGAGCCCCGCATCAGGTTCCCCATACCCCAGGCTCTCTCTCTCCATAAATCAATAAAATCTTTAAAAAAACAAACAAACATACAAACAAAAAAAAACAACAAAAAACTAGGGCACCTGGGGGGCTCAGTTGGTTAAGCATCTGACAGCTCAGGTCATGATCCTGGAGTCCTGGGATTGAGTCCCGCATCGGGTTCCCTGCTCAGAGGGGAATCTGCTTTTCCCTCTGACCTTCCCCCCTCTCCTGATCGCTCTCTCTCTCTCATTCTCTTTCAAATAAATAAATAAAATCTTTAAAAAGCAAAAACTATGAGAGTTTTTCTTAGAAGAAAATACAGGAGTAAATTTTCATGACCTTGCGTGAGGCAAAGTCTTCTTAGATATGACACCAAAAAAGCAAGCAAACAAAGAAAATACACAAATTGGACTTTGTCAAAATTAGAAGCTGAGCTTCAAAAGATACCGTCAAGAAAATGTAAAAGATAATCCAAAAAATGGGAGAAAATACTTACAAATCATATCTCATAAGGGACTTGTACCTAAAATACACAAAGAATTCCTAAATCAAGGAGCATCTGGGTGGCTCAGTCAGTTAAGCATCTGCCTTCAGCTCAGGTCATGATTTCAGGGTCCAGGGATCAAGCCCTGCATCACACTCCCAGCCTCCCTGCTCAGTGGGGAGTCTGCTTCTCCACCTCCTTCTCCTTCTACCCTTCACCCTGCCCCCTCCATCCGTGCTCAAGCTCTCTCTCTCTAAAAAAGAACTCTTGTAACTCAATAACGAAAAGTCAACCCAATTAAAAATGAGCAAAAAATGTTTTTAAAAAATTGGACAAAGATCTTGACAGACATTTCTATGATGAAAATATATAATTGACCGGAGCGCCTGGGTGGCTCAGTCCGTTGAGCATCAGCCTTTGCCTCAGGTCATGATCTGTGGGTCCTGGGACTGAGCCCCATGTGTGGCTCCCTGCTCCGCAGGAAGCCTGCTTCTCCTACCTCTGTCCTACCCCCTGCTCATGCTCTCACTCTCAATCAAATAAATAAATAAAATATTTTTTTAAAAAAGAAAATATATAAATGGCCAATAAGCACATGAAAAGGTACTCAAAACCATTTGTTATCAAGGAAACACAAATCATAACCACAAGGAGGTAACACTTCGCACCCACTAGGGAGGCTATGACAAAGACAGACAATTCCAAGTGTTGACAAGAATGTGGAAAAAATGGAACCTGGTGTTTATCCTGGTGTTAGCCATACTTCAGTCCCATTTTCTAGCCATCTGTCCCTCTAGCCAACATTCACCGTGTACCTACTCTATGGCAGTCATTGTGCTAGGGGCATAAGCATGGAACCAGCACCCTGCTGCTGATGGAAATGTACAATAGTGTAGTTACTTTGAAGAACAGTCGAGCAGGTTCCTATTGGTTAAATACAGTTACTGCCAGCTGCTCCTAATCCTGGTGATCACCTGAGCGAAGGTTCACGCATACCTGGTTCCTAACCCCGCCAACAGGTCAGCAAGCCCGGTTGGCCTCCTCTGGTCTTCACACCCCTCTCAGAGGCTATCTCTTCTCTAACTCCAGAGCCCCTAAACTGTATTTCATCCACTAAAACACTGATGTTCTCTCTTTACTAGTTCTCCCCTGACAGATCTAAAGTCTTCTTCTTCTTCTTCTTCTTTTTTTTAGTTTTATTTGTTTAAGTAAGCTCTACACCCAACATGGGGCTCAAACTCACCACCCAGAGACCAAGAGCTGCGTGCTACTCTGATTGAGCCAGCCAGGCGCCCCGACCCAAAGTCTTCTGACATTTTCGCCTGTTTCCTGCAGTCTCCCTCCACAAAGTCCACCGGCTGCACCTCTTGGCCACAAGAGGAGCTCCTGGGACGACACTGTGGTCAGTCAACCATGTCAGGAGAGTCACTGACTTCTGCCCTCCATAAAGACATATCCATCTGCCATCAGCCATAGACTATCATGCCCTAAACACCTAAAGGGGTGAGAAACTACAGAATCAAAGAAATGTGCTATCTGAAGCCTCAGACTGCAAAAAAGTAGCAAAAGTGGGCTTCTGAGGGAAGGCAACCTCCCAGGAAGGCTGCCGATACACCAAGAACGATGTAGTCCTGACCCCCTTGGGGACTGCAAGATTTTATACCACTCTTCTTTCAGGGACATGCCTCCATTTCCCAAATGGGGGACCCTAAAGTACCAGACCTTACACCGGGCCCCGATGAAGTACTAACGCTTGGGGCCAACTGAGCTGTGTCCAGGGAGCGGTGCCTGTGCCTGTCCCCCGAGGCACTCACACATCATGCCCCAAACCGTGGGTCTCGCTTAACGTTAACGCCTCTTCGGCTAGCCCTCAAACTTTTCTTCAAGTTAGCAAAGAGAGAAGGTGACAGCCTAACCCAAGAAAGACTCCCAGATGCCTATCCATCTCCATGCAGAGGCCCTTATCTGGGCAGGTTCACCGCCGGCCTATCAGAACACCCACCAACACACACATTCCCAGGAGCCCACAAGCACAGGCACACACACCCGAGCGTACATAACAAGACCATCATCCCCACTATCATGGCACCTGGCTGAGAAACAGACTAGGGACCAGGAGGCACAGAAAGCAACACCTGCCATTCAAGCACCACCACTGAATCACACAGCCCGCAGTCCCAGACTGTGAGCTGCCTCTTCTGCTGTGGGCATGGGGGAGCTAATCCTCCAGCTGGGGCCTCCATTTCTCCGTGTATAGAATCAGGGACCTTAGGTAGTTAGTGGCAATATTCCAAGGCAGGAGCTGTAAGATTCTCCACCAATTCTCTATATAGACAGGATGCTTTCTAGTGAGAAGCAGGCTGCAGGACAAAATCAAGGATTGACTTCCAGGCAGGGATACAAGGTCCACATTTTGATGACCCAGTTTCCCTCGAAATGTTGTCAGATGACCCCTGAGGCAGCAGGAAGCAGAAGAAACAAAGTCTACTGGACTACTGCCCCAAAGCTGCTTCCAGGGGTCTGGGCACTAAACCCACGCTACTCCCTTACCCTGGCCAGGACTCTCACCTGAGGGAGGTTCCTGAAAACAGTAACCTGTCCGAGACCAAAACACCAACAAAGACCTCACCATAAGCATGCACTTTTCCGTATTAGATTGAAGCTCTTAACACTCTGGCTCAGACTAAGGTTCATGGATCTCCAGCCAACCCTCTCCAGAGGTTTGCTCCTCTACAAAGGAAAACAAAAAGCCTTGCTGGCCCCAGGCCCCTCTGTTATCATTTGGTCTTGTGGGCTATTTCAAATGCTCTGAAAAATCAGCGTGCCTGAAGAACTGAAATTCACAGGCAACCCAAGCCAATAGTTTCATCTTCCTCATTCCAAACTTGTAGTTGGTGAAGTTGGGTGTTTCAGGTCCTTTTACTTCCTCTCATCATTCCTGGTGTAGGGACTCACAGTGCAAATGGTCAGAAGGCAAGGAACAGGTGGTTGGAAAAGAAAAAAGAAAGACCCTAAACAAACAGGGCACAAAGTCCTCCAGCTTAAGCACCAAAGCTGGGCTCCAAATTCCTGATAGGACAATCTCAAAGCACCCCAAGGGTCCAGGGGACCACCCTCTCATCCTAACCTCCGACCATTATCACCCCTTTCACGACCTTACAACAGAAAGCTCAATAAAAGAGAACTCAGCGTCTTTGAGATGAACACCATAGGAGAATGTAGGAAGGCACATTATTTCTACTATGAATAGTCTTCCTTATAATCAGGCCTCACCTTCTCTCAAATGGTTACATTCTCTCTTCTCCCTAAACGAGGAAGACCCTGGTAAAGTGTCTGTGGTTCAAGGAAGCCTGTGCTTCTCCAGTTGTTACATCTTGTTCATGAAGAAGAAAAGGAAACCCAGGGAGGATTTCCATAGTCAGGGGTGAGGAGGTCTGGAGGATGGGAAACTTTAAGCAGTCGCACCAACCAAATAACCAGAAATAGAGGAATATTCAGGCAGGCCAAGGCCACTTGCCCTGTCAACTGGACAGGGAGCTGGCAGCCGGTTGAAGGAACAAGGGGGTAAACACATGCAACAAACAGAGAGAGGGGATGAGAGCGATTCTGCCGCACCCAGGCCTTCCCCCAGCGCTCCAGGGACTGCCCGAAGCGAGCAAGCCCCACGCAGGAAGCCCGACCAGAGGGGCTGGAGGAGAGGGAGGGGGCGTCGGCATACCACCGTCGGAGACACCAGGCCTCGCTTGGCGCGCGGGGAGTGCACACCCGGCCGGGACGGCGTGCAAGGGTGGGGTGGGCGTGCAAGTGGTTTGGCGAGAGGCTGCGGGCGTCCTCAGCAGGACCCGCGGGGTGAGGGCCGGGCCTGCGGGGGGGCGTGGGAGCGCGCGGGGCCGCGCTCCGAGGGGCGCGCGCGGGGGAGCTGGTTACCGTGTGGTTCACCCCCCACATCAGGACGCTGAGGATCGGCTCGCTGGCCCGGAATAGCTTCACTTTCTGGCACACGAAATGCTTCTTCTTGGTCTTGGTCTTGCTGGCGCTGAGCGGCGCCACCGCCACCGCCGTGGTGCTGGTGCAGTTGGACGACATGCCCGGGGCGGCGGCGGCGGCGGCGGCGGCGAAAGGGGGGGGGCGGCCGAGACGGCGCACAAGCCAGCGGCCCCAGGCCTCCCCGGGACCGATCCCCACCCCCGCTACCTCAACGCGCCATGGTCGCGCCCGTCCCGTTACCTCCCCACCCCGCCCCGGTGGTTCCGTCCGCCCCACGCCCCGCCCCCACGCCCCGCCCCGCCCCGCCCCGCTCCCGCGAGCCAGCCGGCTCGCTCCGAACCCCGCCCCCGAGCGCCGCAGCCACCGCCCCGCAGTCACCAGGCGCTCTCCTCCCCGCCCAGGTGGTAGCGTCCGTCCCGGGGAGGTAGCGGCCGCCCTTCCCGCCCCTCCTCCCCGGGCCTGATGGGAACCGGGCTGGCCTCAGGACAACTCAGAGTCCCGCACCGGAACGGAAAGGGGAGGTGGGCTGGGGTAGGGCTCGCCGTCCACCGCGGGAGGGTCCCTCTGTCCGCCCCCTCCCAAAGCCAGGGTTTGGCTCTTCCCCTCAACCTGACGTGCCAAGATGGCGGCGGCGCCCAGGCTCCGAAGGGGAGGAGGGGCGGGAATGCGAGGAGGGTGGGACGTACCATCCCATCCCGGGGGAGAGAGGAGAACCCAGCGAGGGGAAAAGGAAGTCCTGCCGGGAAAACCAAGGAACGCCCCCTCGCTCCACCCAAGTGTGGATCTTCCCACTCCCCTGGGCCTGGCGCGGGCTCCACCTACGGGTCACGCCCCTTTCCCCCGGGGCCAATGAGAGCCGCGGGCCCGGAGCCCTGGGTTTTATGAATGGGCCCCGCACCCACCCAGCTGCCGATTGGCCTCTTCCCTTCAAAGGGTCGAGTTAAGAGACCTGCGGCACCTTAAGACACCTATCCTGCAGCAGAAAATTGTAATCGTCTTATTCTCTGGCACACTTCACGACATCTGTGAGTGAACTGCCCACGCTTTGTTATGTAATTCCTCTCGGAAGAAGGATCTCCAAAGATTCGGATCTCCAAAGATTTGACACAAATTGCGGGTCAGTATTGTTCTGTATGGGAATTCGTAAATTCAGTACTCAGCACGTGGTTGTTCTTTAAACAGTTACAAAAATAAATGTAGCCTTTATTACCAAGTAATAAAATAAAAGACATAATTAGCATAGAGAAGCAGGATGAGGTGATTAAATGAATAACAAGTGAGTGTTACTTTCTCTCTGGGGAGAGACTGGGTTTTAAGTATTACAGTGCCTAGCATCTAAGTGCACATATATATAAACCCAAATTCGTTTTAAGCAGAATTAGGAATTAGCAGAACAAGGAACTAGCCCCGCTAATATGTGGGTCAAGAGGGCCTGAGGAGTTCATGGGTCAAATGAGGGCTTCTGGTAAAAGAATAGAAAAGGGAAAGGAGTAAAGGCAGGAGACTGGTTCCATGAGTTTTGGGGGTTTTTAATACCTGACTAAAAAATAGTAGCAAACTCCTGGAAATATAGAATTGTAATAAGATTACTACATGATTAAAAGGAAGCCATGAAATAAAACAGCTTCCATTTTATTTTAAGAGCCAGGGTGGGAGCACACTGGTAATTTGGTCCTAACTCCTAAAATCATTTGACTTCACGGCTGCACTGCCCACATGGGAGCCTGTAAGCAGTGTAACAGGATAGATCCCCTGGATCCTATCTACAAACCCAGGCTCCTCCTAAACTAGCTGGATTCAGAGGGGAAAAAAAGCTGACCTGCATTACTGTATTACTCGGTAACAAGATACAATATGGTTCCATTATATAGTAAAGTCACTTACCAAACAAGATGTTCTCACAAAGCTAACTTTTTTAAAAAGCATGTAAAAATTATACATTTGTACACATACACACTATACTTTTTACAGTTCAAAAGACAGTCCAAATAGTTCAACAGCTCATTTAGTGCTTTTTTGGATTGTGTCCCCTTCCAGATTCTTTGTCTCTCCTTGGCTCTGCCCTAAGCTGACAGCATTCTGTCACATGATCTTCTAAATCAAGAAAGATGTTCATTTATCCCACCAAGCACAGTCTATCTGGGCAACTCCGGAGAGAGGTTTCTGCAAGGTCTGGTCTACACTGAGGCACACAGTTCTCACAGCGGGGAATAAAGTGGCATAAGAAGTATCATGACCACAGGAAACAGCCTTCCAGAGCAGGGTGAGTGCTCACACCTAGAGTGTCCAGTGCCCACCCATTAAAACCTACAAGGCACTCAGCAAAAGTTACTGAGTGTCCCATAAAGTGCGTTGCACTGGTTCTCAAAGGAAGTAAGCTGTTTCAGGAATCACCGGAAGAGAGTCACTTTGAACAGTGGTGCTTTGACAACTGTGCAAGAAGTCACTTGAACTCTTATAAAGAGAATTTTTAAGGGATCAATAGCCTCCCTGGAAAATTCAGGAAAGCCAGCAAGAGAGGGGATAGCTTTTATCTTTTCATAAAGTTCTTCTCCAGAGCTATTGAGGTTCTCTGTAGAGAGTAGATGTTCCGTTTCACCCTATCCTCCAGGGAGGAGGAAGATGCACTCTCCAGCTTCATGCGGCTAGGAAGACAGGAGAATATCTGTGAGTAACATATTTGTCAAGTGGTCACCTATCTGGCAGACTTAGAAGAAACAGGTTGCCAACCATAAAGCAGATGTAGAAACCTAAGCTCTTTTAAGCTCATATAGGTAACTTTGGAGTGGACTCCAACTGGAACTCAATTTTTTTAAACCAACGTCCAACAGGGAAAAGTTATCTGTTTTGAAAAACCAGGTAAAGCCTCATTGGAAAAAGGCCTCCTGAGCCATGAATTCTTACTTAAATGGAAAGCAAGGAGATCCAATGAAAATACCAATTCACTTCTCCTTCCTTCAAATCAGAAATACCCCACTGTCTAGCTAGATGCTGGGAGTAGTAACAAAGGTGGCCTGGAGGCTGATCTCCCCATTCTCACTGCACAGACATCGAAACACCAGGAACACAATGAATGAATCCGCTGCCCAGTTGCCTCCTTGGGACCACAGCCATGAAAGCCATCAGGCAGCAAGAAGATGCACTCACTGGGGGCGCCTGGATGGCTCAGTGGGTTAAAGCCTCTGCCTTCAGCTCAAGTCATGATCCCAGGGTCCTGGGATCAAGCTGTGCATCGGGCTCTCTGCTCAGTGGGGAGCCTGCTTTCTCCTCTCTCTCTGCCTGCCTCTCTGCCTGCTTGTGATCTCTGTCAAATAAATAAATGAAATCTTAAAAAAAAAAAAAAAAAAAAAAGAAGATGCACTCACTGGATAAACTTCCCATCCCTGGAGCCCAGCTTCTCCAGCCTCTGCTCCCGTTCATGATCCTTGGCGTGCCTCTTGAGGATGGTCAGCCTCTCTTCCTCCCGCCACTTGGCATTTTCCATCATCTCTTGACGTTTTCGCTCTAGTTCCTCCGATGAGAGCTTTCTGTTGAACACAAAAACCATCCTATCAGGTCTACTTCTCTCCCAGCAAAAACACCCATACAGTACAGGGACAACAAATTAGGTAGGACCCCAGGCTCTCCACCGCCCTGCTCTCTCTATGGAAATGCTCAACCCAGGGCCACCCTCAGCACGAGTCTCCTTCTTTCCTAATACCTTGGGCAGGTGGTTTCATCCAAATTTCAAAGACTTTCATACTCTCTCTCTCAGTAATCTCTGGAGTGGTATTTCTAAACATAAAATACAAAATATTCCGATTGTTTGCTCAACAACTTATTGAAGAACACAGGACTAAGTTAGCCATGTGACTGCTGACATCTACCATCTACCTACTGGATATGCTTAGAAATCCATGGACATAGCCCAGGAATACACCACTTTAGGCATAAGTTAGAATGCAGATGCCAGGGGCGCCTGGGTGGCTCAGTGGGTTAAGCCGCTGCCTTCGGCTCAGGTCATGATCTCAGGGTCCTGGGATCGAGTCCCGCATCGGGCTCTCTGCTCAGTGTAAAGCACGTGGAAGTCAAACAGGGATTCGCCTCATTTTACAGAAGAAGGGATTGAGCTTAGTAGAGGCATGTGTAACTTGCCCAAGGTCACTGCTGGTTAGTGAAGGAAGCTCAGGGCTTACGTTCTTCTTCACTTTGCCTCACACACCCTGCTTCCTCCGGGGGAGCCTGGGAACCACCCCTCACTTCAGGCATGGGTATAGCCAGAGTTGGGGACCTTGAGCCCAGAAAAAAAAGAGTTAAGGGGTCAAGCCAAGTTAGGGTCCAAGGCTCTGGGGCCAAGGCTTCTGTTTTGGGGGCAGGATCCAGAACACCTGTTTGAAACCATCTCGCAAGCCATGCTGAATGCCGTGGACCGGGACGCAGTGTCGGGCATGGGCGTCATCGTGCACATCATGTGAGTAGAGTTGGGAAGAGCAGAGAAGCTTTGCAGACCCCTGCCTTTCCCTTCCCAGACAAATACCTCTTCTTTCCATCCCCCTGAGCAGGTGTGAGGGAGGGAAGGCACTTGTAGCAGGCTTGGGATAGTAGAAATCCACCCGGTTCCCTTGGGCTCGGTAGGTGAGGCTCCATGACCCTGAGTCCTCCGCCCTCCACCCCACCTGCTCACAGTGGACACTGCTTTCTTAAGTATCCCTGAAGTCTCAGGGGCCTGCGTGGGGGTGAGCCACAGCAGAGCGACTGCACATTGTTGGGAGCTCCAGGCGACTCCCTCCCCTCCCAGCTCCTGTTTCTGGGTGACATCCTGAGCCCCAACAGGGTGATACTCTGAGCTCCCGGAACAAAGTTTCCAACCCAGCCAGTTCCCTCCCTGCCATCCCCCATAGCCCCTCACTTGTCTGGAGCTGCCTCCGGGAACCTGATCCGATGAAGTAGAAGTCCTCCCAACAGCTCTTCTGGGGCACATCCCAAAATAAGCTTTTGGACCTCTTGTGGTGGGAGAGCTTGCTTAATTATCGTGACAAACAGACCGCGGCTGATACGGAGAATTGACCACTGGGGTCCTTTGTGTTCCTTGGGATGAAACGCAACACACCTCCTTCCTGTGTCCTGTGACTTTTTCTCTGGGCTTGGGGGGCGGGGGCTCCTGCCCTTCCCTGGAGGGCTGCGCGTCAAGCCCCAAGTCACCTAGGCTCTGGTTGCGTCCCGCTGTGGGGTTCCTTCACTCGACTCCCTGTTTCGCCTTCCTCTCCTTCCTCCCCTTTCTCATCCCAGGCTTAGCAGACAGGCTGTTAATGTAACAGGAGCAAAACAGTTAAACCTAGAGTTGGCAGCACAGCTCTTTGTTCTGCATTCTAGAATCATGTAGATGTTTTGTGACTTTCTCCCCCTGCAGTGAGAAGGACAAAATCACCACCAGGACACTGAAGGCCCGCATGGACTAACCCTCTTTTTTTTTTTTTTTTTTTTTTAAATAAATAAATAGCTTTTCTTTCACTTCTGCTTCTTTGTGTTTGGGTCTCCTACCAGAGATCTTTGTCCCCAGCTGGAGAGTTACAAAGAGCTCCTCAGGGCCCCGCGCAGCCCTTGGGTTTTCTTGCGGACTTGCAGCGCCCTCTGCTGGTACACCTCGCTGAGTGCCTGCTGGGTGCTAGGCCTGGCAATGCTTTACACATCCTAGAATTCAATCATCATGATGACTTACAGCAGTTAATTTGCTCAAGGCCACTTTAGGAGCAACGATGAAAACCCATATTCCATTTGACCCCGAAGCCTAGAATCCTTTTCACCGTACTCTGCTTGAAAACTTAAATCTTTCATTGTTTCAGGAAGAAACTGGGCCAAGTAGCCACAAGTAATATCCTTGTGGTTCAGCGTTTCTTAACCTTGGCCGCATGTTAGTCACAGATACTTTGATTCCCTCCCTCAAGATTCTGACCTAACTAGCTTTTAAAGGCCTGGGCACCTGTCTCTCCTAAAAGCTTCCCAAATGATTCCAGCTTGCAAGCTGGGGTGGTGGCTCCCAAACTTGAGCCTCCATCAGAACCACCTGGAGGGCCTGTTAGAACCGTTTCTGATTCAGACCTGCAGAGGGACTGGGGAGTTTCTATTTCTGATTCGCAGCTGCTGCTGATACTGCTGGTCGAGGACCACATGGGAGAACCCCCGGCTTCTGAGCTAAGCGTTTACCTAGAGAACAGGAGATACACAGAAGTGACTATGTAGCTACTTAGGGGAGAGCTGGGACAGTTGTCGTAGGCATGTAGCTCCTCGCCACTGTTGGTCTTACCCAGCTGGAGAAGTGAGGGGCAAGCGGTTTGTCCACTTCTCGATATGCGCAGTAAGATCTTGATGGCGGACCCGCTCTGCTCTGGTGCCCGTGCTCCTTGCTCACCAGGCCAATCTGGAAGTAGGCGGCCAACGTCCTAGCCTATATGCTTTCTCCAAACTCAAGTCACACATGGATTTTGTCCAAGCAACCTATGAAACTGGGACCCCAACCTTTTAACTCTGAAAAAAAAAAAAAATGAAGGCTCATTTCTAAAGGACTCACCCATGACAGATGTGTACACAAAGCCTTTTGAGTTTTATTTGTTCCTTGGGCTGGAGATTCGTCTTAACATGCATGCATTTTAAAACAGTAACAGGGTCTCGAACTGTTCCGAGCAGACATTAGACAAGCACAAGGGGCTGAAAATTCCTATTTTAAAAAAATGGAGGTCGCAGTGAGGAAACCAAGAAGTCACGGACATATGACGGGTGCTAGTGTATCCCGCTCCCCCACGAAGTCAGTCTAAGCTTCATTCACACTTTTTGATGACAGTAATCTGACCTGATGTTCGGGTGTGCCGAGCAGCTCCGCCCCCCCCCGCTAAAGGCTGCTGGTTCACAACTCACGGAACAGCTCTGTGCAGGGGAAGGGGGGTCCTCTGGAAGTTTCCTCTCCTGCCTCCCAAGGATCTCAGCACGACCCACTGGGGACAGCTGAGTCTCCTCTTCCCTTTGGAGGCACTATTCCTCCATGGCATGTCTCTTGAGGGAGGGTGGGCCATGTCCCTGCCCCCTGCAGACAGCTGGTGGATTTGGGGGCAGTTGTTCCAATGGGTTTTCCCTATGATTCCTGTGCTCAGGCTGGACCCACCCTCCCCACATTTCTGTCAAAAGGAATTGAGGTCCCTAGACTCGGGGGAGCCACAGCTCTAAGGCCAGAGCTGTAAAGGCTGCTGAAACACACGGTCCCTTCTGCCCCTAACGCTTGAGTAGCTCAAATGCTAGGGAGTGCTGAAGTTTTTTCCCTCCCAACCTGAATTAGTAAAAAGACAACAGGGGGTGGAGGGGTGGGATTGGCTGCTGAGAAAAGTCCCGGGTCTTTGGTCCACCTCCCCGGGGCAGGTCCTGGCAGACTGAAGAGGGGAACGTCATTAGGGTAGGAGTCTGTAGTCCCCAGGCCTGAGCACGACCAGGGGACCAGTTTGAGGCCTAAAGCACAGGCAAGAGAAAGGAAGAGGAGGAAGGGAGAGGGAAGGAAGAGCTGCCTGTGGTGGAAACTTAGGGGGTGTCACTGAGAACAGCCACAGGGGCGACTCGTGGCACCCGCCACAGACCAGTAACCCCTGAGCTAGATAAGGAGAGACGGAGTGCTGCTTCAGCTGCTCCTGGAACTGCTGGCTTCTGCCCGGGACCCCCAAAACGCAGGGCACAGGGAAGGAGCTTGCACTGGGGGACAAAGACTCAGTGGTTCATTAAAAGGAACAAGGGCCAGAGGCCTTCATCTAGTGGTCTAAGTGGAATTTCCAGAGAACCCTCGCTTGGGCTGGGAGGCCTGGGAAATGGGTTTCTCAGCCGTAGGCTTCAGGACGGGAGAAGCTGTGAGCGGCTAGGTGGTTAGAGTGGGGAACGGAGAGGAACTGCACACGGGCTTCCCCATCCAGGCTCCACTCCAGCAGTCCTGTCCTATTCTTACACCCTTGTTCTTGGGAAACCCCAAACTATTCCGGGGTGCTGGGAGACTGTTGGAGCTTTTCTTCGGGGCTCCAGAGAGGAAGGCTGAGCCTAGTCCCTTGCCCTCGGATGCCTTCTACAGCCCACAGAGGGAACGGTGGGGCTCGGAGAAAGGAATGGGGGCAGACGAAAGCTTGGGGACCAGTTCACTTTCTCCACATTCAGACCACAACCCAAATATACCTGCATCATTACAAAAAGAGAAAGAAAACTGGTATAAACCAAAATAAACAGTTTTTGAACACTTGAATGCCAAAGGAATTAGAGGGCCAAACCCAAGGTTTTGAAGATAGCACAGAGAATGACCTTAAAAACAAAAAACAAAAAAAACCCCACCTCAAATCCACCCAACCACAGCTCAGATTTTTTACCCAAACAACAATACTGTCAGAAAAACAAAAAGAGCATTTGAAACAGAATGCTACTCTCAAAATGTAAACAATATACCAGGAAAAAAAAAAAAAAAAAGAAACCCACGAAAACACAAAAACTCAATGTTAAAGAAGCTAGATACCGGGTAGCTCATCTTTAACTGAAGGATCGTGTTACACTTTTCATACACATGATGGCAACATGATCAGCAGACCCAGCGCAGGAAGCCGCCGGGAGCCCAAGGCTGTGGCCGCAGCAGGGGGAGGGGGGACAGGCCACCAGGCTCTGAAGACGCTGGGCCTCCTGAGGGGCAGATCCAAATTTTCATTCTTGATTAGGAGGTGGGGAAATCAAG